TCAAATAAAAAAGATGCAAGGAGATGCAATTGTGGTGTCACTTTGAAAATCATACATCACTTAGGTTCTCAAGTTATCATATTCATGAATTTTGGTGTCCACATCGCCCACCTAGCCACCCACCCGCCGGGGTGATGACAACACCCCAAGCCTTTGAGGTTGAGTGGTAAAAACTGCTGAATGAACTTCTTGGACAAACTATGACAAACAGTTGGTCATATTTTTCCCAGGCAATTATAATATTATAACAGCTCTTAAACTGTAAACACTGTCAAGGGTTACACTTCAACAGTTTAAAGTAGCAGAACTGAACCCAGTTACAGGGTATCCAAGTGGAACTAGCCACAGAGACCAAAACACTGTACTACTGTGTAAAAATGGTTATCTTTCAAAGTTGGGCATTTAACACACAATGGCCTTTATGGGGAAAAGTTAAATTTTAAACATAAAATGCAGTATATACTATAATATCTTGTAATTAAAGGCAAAGGTGTTGATAAGCTGTTACAAGCATTGCTTTTGCCACCTGTTACATTTCATTTCTTGACAAGTTGAATACTTGTCATGAATACTTTATATTATACTTTGATTTATTATTAGAGTCAGTTACATTTAGTGTGAGAAATAGAGGTGGGTTAATGAGGAGCTAAATAACTAAAAACCAAATCACTGTGGAAACAGGAAGCTTTTATTGTTAGGAGGAGAGAAATTTGCATTCTCTCACAGAGACTCATCTTCAAGTAGATGATTTGAGCACTTGTCTTCTCCCAAGCACAGTCTTTTATTTTGATTTCTTCCCATGCTACACTGCAATATGAACATGTGAGTACTTTTAAGAACTGGTACTTTTGCTTCTGAAGGACGCAGCTGAATGCATCCTCAGTGAGGATTTCACGAAGGACCGAAGGGAAGGATTACTGAAGGAGCAGTATTTATACAGATTTACACAGATGTAGCCCATGGTGCTGAGCAGACAGAATCAAAGGTAAAAGTAAAACTTTGTGATTGTCTCTAAGCTACGGTGGCGCTAAGAGGTCAAATACAATGCAACATAAGAAAACACCAGCAACAAAGAAAAACACTGCAAAAGCACATAAAACACAACAGAGACTGAATGAAACACAAAGGAAGTAAAAAAAAAAATCTTGCAAAAACCCCCCACAATGGAAGTGTTTTTAGGGAACAGCTTCCGAAGAGATAGAAACCAAAACATGCGAAGGATTGCACTAAGACTTAAAAGAAGCAGAGGATTCTTCTGTGCTGTGAGGGAGAAAAAGATGCAGGCAATGTGTGTTTTAATCACATGGGTCATGTAATACTGTAGATACATGTTGCTATTAGCCGTTTAGCTGTTAGCTTGTCCCCTACTGTTAGCTGTTCCGTCACATTATTGTCTCTCTGGAAGGTTTTTCACTTTTGATTTTTTTTGTGAGCTTTTGCAGCATTTCTTCTATTTGCTGGGGCTTTGCTGCAGTGACCTTTGACCTTTCAGGGACACTTTAGAAAGCAGTTAGTTTTGAAACTGACTGAAAGTAAACATCTTAAAATGTGATTTTTTGCAAATTTGGATGTCTTATTTCAGAGTTCTTGAGATTATACAACAACAAGCTCATTATTTGGAGTATAAAGGCGCCCTTAAAAACAACTAGAAGTGGACCGTTTTTTACAGACACACCCTGCAACTGCACTTTGTCAACTTGTGGGATGAAAACCAGGTGGAAACTAGAAACATTCATTTGCATCTTTAAAAGAGCCTGACGTTAAAATACATTTAGTTTTTTTAAATTTCTCTGACACTGTTCCATGTTTGGAAGAAAAAAAACCTTTCATCTTTGCACTGATCCAAATTATTGTGCAAAGCTGTAATATCAAACCTCTCTTTGTATCTGTTGTGCTGTAAATCATTTGGACATGGCCTTTCCTGTTTGGCTTTGGATTCAAACCAATGAAGGAAGGAGGAGGCACAGCTTAGGGAGTTATTGCTTCAGGTCAGGACCACAGATATTCAAAGTAATAATTTACAACCGCTTGTTTACCCAGTGGAACCTGACAGACGTGCTGGCTTCCATCAACTCTTTGAATCATGCTCACACACTCTTTAACCCTGCTCACTGACATCTTGGACTTAAGCAATGCAAACACCGATCTCTACAGCTGGCTGCAGCTTCAGTCAAGTGCATCTCTAAGGAACTTTTACAGTAGATTATCTAGACTTTGGGGCAGACTTTATCTAGTGACTGACTTCAAGTCCCAATCTAGTTTGACTAAGCGCAACACGTCACTGCCAGTAGTAACAATCATAGCAATAAAACGGTCTGTAATATAGCAACAACACATAAAAGATCGGCTCTTTGTGCATTACCATTTTAAGATCTACAAACGCAGAGTTGTAATATTTACAACTCATTTTATGTTCATTTCAGGCCTGTAAAAGTGATGAAACGCTGAGGGAGCACTAAGTATGAAGGGAGGGAAACACAGGTTTTCACTCGGTAAAATATGAACAAAGACAAGCACACATACTCAAAACATGCACCATGGGGAAATAGTACCAAGTGATTTTAAGAATAAAAGAAATAACAGGTTGTTCTAATATTTCATCACAATATATATGAGATGGGGTATCTTCCTTAATGACCAACCATTTATCTTGAGGGCCACAGCCCTGCCTCTGGTTACGCCGGAGGTTTCTTCCTCTTAAAAGGGAGTTCTGCCTTCCCATGGTCGCCAAATGCTTGTTTATAAGGGGGCCGTCTGATTGCCGGGGTGCTATGTAGACAACATGTATACAACTGAATTGAACTGAGCTGAATGGAATTGAACTGAAAGCTGAGAATGTACTTTTATAAAAAGGCTGAAATCAGCAACAGAAACGACTGATAGACAAACTAAGCTTGAATGAATGTCACAAAGCAGCTGGTATGTATTAGTGTGTGTGAACAGAGTCACATAGAGTGAAAGTGATTAAAAACAACAACAACAAATGAATAAAGGGAATTAAATAGCAGAAAACACCAAATGTGAATTTGTTCAATTCCAGTAAGTGAAAAAAGTGAAGACCAATAACAGAAAGGTCATGAATTACAATGATTTTATCAGCCAACCAGCCTCTTTTGCACTTTGTGTATTCACTGTAGGTGTATGGCCTTGGCAAGGCATCTCCCAAGACGATGGAAGGCTGAATAATACTGGAAGCCAAAGGTGAGACTTTCACAGTTCTGTACAATACATATTCAGTGCATATAGACCCCTGGCAGCACTGGTGCAGAGCTTAATTAAAAAGTAACAGTTCCGGTACATTGGAGTCTGGCTGACCCACATCCCCTGCTGGCTCAATACGCCTGTTAACTCTGTGTATAAGTGTGTGCGTGTGTGTTTGGTGGGATATTGGGGGCACTTGAAAAGGGAAATGAGAAAGGGTGTAAGTCAGTCAGAATGATGATACACACTTGATGCGTTTAAGCAGCTGTAAGCATTTGCATAAAAAAAATGTGTGCATGATGTGTGTTTGTGTGTGTGTGAGAGAGAGACATGAATTATTCAGAATAACCCTAGGCAGTGCTATATAGCGCACTCCTGCCTTATGGGCTTACATCATGCATGTGCGTGTGCATATGTGCGTGCGGTTGTGCATTTGTGTGAGTTTATAGACGGGGAGCGTGTGAGGAAACCTGAGTGCATTTCAGCCATGCGCTGTGGACCTAATCCACTATGACAAACCTCTGACATCACGTGCACAACAGGCATGCTGAGCAAATCCAGTCATTTATAATGAATGAGACAGAGAGAGAGAAAAAGAAGCGTGAGAGGGTAGAGAGTCTCCAGGGAAAACGATACAAAAATAATAATAATAAAAAGGAGAGAAACAGACAGAGCATCTCTATCTGTGGCAGCCAAAAACATCATCTTCAAGCCACTTGCTGCATCCATCCATGTGGCCTCAAACAGCCAATCATCACAAAAAAAACAACCCACCAGCAACAACAAAGAAAGAATGCAAGAATTAGAAACAATGAGTGGTGAGTGGAAATGCAGTTGCTGATTTCTTTTGTCTCTGTCATTCCGACAAGAATTACAAGATGATTGGATGTCTTGGAAATACATTTCCGGTAACTGAACAATGCAATCAATTCAGGAAATGTCAGGAATTTTTAGAGTAACTACTGGCTATTTTAAAGCAGATATAAGGGTTGAAATGCCTTTCCTTTTTCTACACCCTCACCCCTTTTCTTTCCTTTGTGTCTACTGGTTCCTTTTCTTATCTAGCTAAACTCTTTAAGAGCTTGGTGTTCTGAAAATGTTGAAGAATCCAAGTCTCATTTACATGCCGAAATATGTCAGGAGGGTGGCACCAGTCGGGCTGCAGACTGAGTGGGGTGCCAAAATCCCACAGGTGGTGAGGGTTGGAGTGCTGGAAGAAGAATATGGGTCCCCAAGAGTGTTGCTGTGTGACTACTGCTGCTGATTCCATTACAGTCTCTCTCTCACACACACACACACACACACACACACACACACACACACACACACACACCTATACCCAGACTCATATTTTAGGATTCCAAGCAGAGTCCTAAAGCAGAATGTCATTACTGTCCTACAGTGAACTTGGTGTACGATATGAAAACTTTATTTCCTGGTTCGTTACCAATTTCTACCAAGGAAAAACCATTACAATATCTAATAAATGTGGGAAATAGTTGCTGAAAATGCATGCACATTCGGTCAAAAAATAAATAAACAATCATAATTAACTGGTATGACATTCTGCAAAATCTTCAATCCAAAAACTGTGATGCTCTTCTTTCCTGGACCAGTTCTGGGTAAACATAATCTCCCACCTCAGCGGTGGAGACTTTGGCTGTGCTAACAAACTAGCCAGCCTACACATCATATAAACTCTGTCCTACTCTCTCCCACAAAGGGGGCCGTCTGAAGTCCATCAAGCCATAAATAATTCAGCCGACTCTCCCACAAAGTGAGAACAACCTGCAGCTTACCATTCATTCTGTCCGGGCAGCTCATGAATCCAGGGAACTTGGTTTTCTCCCACAAAACCCATGTCATCATGGGAGCTGGACGACGACTGGTCAGACAGGTGGGAAGGGAGCAGGGGTGGCCTGTCGTCTTCGATCATTACTATGTCGTCCTGTGGCATGTTCACAGTCGGAGAGAGCTGGGAGCGACCTGAGAAAAACCAGGACAAGGAGAGACTGATTAGCAAATGGAGTGTGACCGTGTATATTTGAGCTTCATTTCAATTATAAAATACAAAACTGCGTCAAGACCCATTTATTAAACTTTTTTTTTTTTAAACGCACACACCCCATGTGCAGACATATTTGTGTAAATATAATTTTATCTTGCGTTCCTAATTAACAGCGTGACATTGCAAACAGATAATGCTGAGGACGTTATTTTGCAAAACTAGTGGATTTCTGCTCTTATCTGGAGTAGCAGTACTGAATGGAAATAACAAACATCTTCTAAATGATAGCACAGTTCACTCATGGAAAGTCTAAGTGGCCATGAGGACTCATAAGACAAACACAAAGTGCTCTAATGTCTTCTATCCAGTCTCTTAATGTCACAGGCAAAAGTTCTGGACCCGGGTAGTTTTAGCTATTCTCCTTCACTCTCCTCCAAGGACAAATACAAGCAGAAAAAGGCCTCCCCCTGATCTGTATTCTGTCCCGCCTGACCCTCCCCGCTGAGGACTTCTTTGAATCGCTCTTTTGCTGCTCCTCAGGAGTCAAAGTCAATGAGGAATGTGCTGGCACTCAGCGCCAAGGGCAACAGAAGGGTTGTTCAACAGCATGAGAAGTGGCATTACAATGAAGAGGCGGAAGCTTCATTCTGAAAGCCGATCTGCGCACGATTTCTTCGTGGCCGATCCGAACGCGAGACAAGTGATGAGACGTGAATTCAGCCACACACCTGCTTGCCATTAGACAAAGTCTTTCAGAGATTCTGGACTTCCTGTGGTCGTTGCTTTTGTTTCCATTATCACAGAGGTATTTTGCAAATTTAATAGCTTAGGAACAATTGTGTGTAATCACTAGCAGCAGACAACAATATTTACTCTGGCAGGATCCCAACGTGAATCTGAGAGTCATTTAATTTCACTGGGGCCCGACGAATGATAAATGCACATTGTGGAAGTAAATCTCAGCACCAATCAATGCAGCAGCGAGCGGTATAGTTTAGTTTCGGTACTTGGAGATTAAAAAAAAGGGAAGAAAAAAAAAACAAAGAAACAAAACAGAGCTGCGTGGGAGAGGACAGAAATAAAGGCGCGCTTATCCAGCACTCACAGCGCCAATGAAAGTCAAACAAAAATCAATGTGGAAAGGTGCGTTTTTTAGGTGATTTGCCATGTTGACGTGTGACAGAGGAGATTTGTCCAATCCAAACCAGTGAAGCACAAAACAACACCAAAAAACGTTTCCGCCGTACAGGTCTTGTAACTGGGAAATTATCTATGGAGGCCAAAGAGTTTTTGTAGTACCACCATATTGCTGTGAAGGCTGACATTTTACTTTGAAAGTCTATGGGGATTGACTTGCTTGTGTAGCAAGGCTCAAGTGGTCATTAAAAGAAACTGTCAGGTTTGGTAACTGCAGCTTTAACAGCTTTAACTTGGAGTAATTGTTTTCTGTACAGCTTTCAGTGTCTTGTGTCGTTGCGGAGGAATCATGGAGTGCTCTTTAAAAAAGTGTTGTTTCATTTCATTGGGGTTTGTGGGAAGTCTTAAATGGGCTCTTTTAAGGTCAGGCCACAGCATTTCAGTCAGTTTCAGGTCAGGACTCTGGCTTGTTGCAACTTTGATTCGTCTTTAGCTATTCTGATGTAGATTTGCTGCTGTGTTTGTTCTGTTGCATGAACTATTTTCAGCCAAACTTTAGCCAACAGCTGGCCTAACATTTGTCTCAGAGGACCTCACGGTCAACTTGAAGACAGCAAGATGGCCAGGTCCTGTAGCTCCAAGACAATCCCAAATCATGACCCCCTCCATCACTGTCCTTCAGAGGTGGTATGAAGTGTTTGCGCTGTGCTGTGTTGTAACACTACATAACAAACAACTCCACTATTCGATTCATTCAGATGCAATTGAACAGCCGTGCTGCTGTTCTTAAAAGATAAGGGGGGACACTTCCAAACAAGCCATACTTGTTCAGTCATTTTCTAATCTACCAACTTAAACTTTAATATTTAACATTCTAACTGAGACCTGCAGAGTCACAGTCAAACCTTGGGGGGGATTTACATGGATGTACACTCCTGGGAAGATTGTGGCATTGTGTTAACACACATCTGAGTGCACCATACCAGCAAACTGAATGCTCCTTACAAAGGCTGCTTTTATAGAGGTACTTAGTTTTTTACTAACTACACCCGTGACTGCAAAGTCATGTGAAACCTTCTTTTTCACATGACCATACTTTTGCATCTGTTAACCGGTTCTACTGAGAGCCAAGTCCTTTTGTCTTTAGATTGCTAATCTAAAGCAGTTAAGATGGCTACCAACACTGTACAGGTGAAATGAAGGCCATTTCTCACTCAGACAGCTTGACAGAGAACCGCAGGTGATTGAATTCCCCCTGTACTGTAAATCAGGAGTATTGGAGTAATGGCAGTGATAAGTCCAGGAAGTCAATTAGGCTAAGCTAAATGTATCATTCTCACAGTAGACAGACCAAGAAAATTCAGTTATTTTATAGTTGAATTTTGATTATTAATAAAAGTGGTTGAAGTAATTTCTCAAGTTATTATGATAGTTTCTTTCAATAATGTCTAGGATCAAGGGAAATGAAGGTAAGTAAAATCTGCACAGTCTATTAAAGTGAGAATAAATAATTATGGTTTTACTTCTGTAAATCTGTATAAGTAATATACGTGTAGAATTCTAAGGATATATCAGTTTAGCAAAAGTGCGACAGTGTCAGTAAAAGATGCCCTGCGGTTGTGTTTCCACGGGGGCTTTTCTTATACCTGCATTTACATTCCCTTAGTAAGTAGATGGAATTGCTTCTCGGTTGCATCAGCAACAGAGACTTTGACTGCAGCAGCAACCCTGAACAGACACAGAGTATTAACTATGTCTTTCTAAAAAAAACTAAAAAAAACCACCCAAAATAAAAGTTTAAAACTTTTAGTGCATGTTCACTTACACCACACACGGACGGAACATTTGCTCAAACTTACAATATGCTCTCTTTAAGACGACACACCATCTATAATCACCTTACGTACACTTGTGTCACAGTCCACTTTGCTAGAGGACACTGCTTTAATTAGAAAGTCTGCAGGCTTTTCTCCCAGCTTCATGAAATATTTCCAGTCAGGACCCCTTGACACAAGTGACTACCACTGCAGAAGAAAAGTCGTTACAGTTACCACTTCCGTGCCTATGTGCACATGCACTACAGCACTGTATGAAGAGTGCGCAGGAAAAACCGGGGCCGTGCCGATGCTTTCAAAGGTGAAAATATAATTAGAAACTGCAGCGAATGCTTTTCTGCAGCTGTCAGCATAATCAGCATAGAGGGAAATCACAGCCCGCCTACTCATGATACTTGACTCTGAACATGACTAACCGGGACAATGAAACAGACGAGACTAAGGTTGGCTGGAGAAGACAAAGAGAAAATGGCTCACAGGGAACAATATGTTGATACGAGTTAAATCACACTGTGGTTCATAAAACTTGGCTGAGCAAAGGGCGGAGTGGGAATAGAGGCAGACGCTTTTCAGCAACTTGGAACAGCGAGGCTCAGATGGAGCTGCTCACTCACTGCTTTAACACCATTGTCTTTTATCAGCTCCTCACAGTAGCTGACGAGACAGCCAGATCGACACGGTGAACAGTCATGTGTGTTGGAACTCGGACTAACTAGTGATGGAGGCATTTTGAAAGTCACTTCTGTTTGTTATGGAGAAGTGATTCTAAATGCAAACAAGTGCTGATGAAATAATGAGAGAGAATATTCTTAAGGCCTTCTTGTGTAATTGTTGAGCGTCGTTTTACTCCCATCACACCCAACCAGTCGCAGCACAAGGCTGCCCCTCTTCTGAAATTTTGTTCTACTGGACGTTTCTTCCTGATAAAAGGGAGTTTCTCCTTCCTACTGTCGCTTGCTCACAGGGGGTTGTTTGATTGTTGGGGTTTTCTCTGCATTATTGTATGGTCTCTACCTTACATTATAAAGCACCCTGAGGTGATGACGTAAAAAAGAAAAAAGAAACGACTAAAACTATGGAATTTTTCATGCAGTTATCTGGACTTCAACTCACTTATCTGAGAAATACATATGCTGATTCATGAAGGGACTATTTTTACTCTGATAATGAGTAATTGTTCACAGCAGGCTAATGTTTTACAAAGGGGCTATTACGTAATTGTTACATAGATGCTTACCATCTTTGGGGTTAAGGAAAGAGACCTGTGGCAATATGATGATGTCACCATGACCTTTCTCACACTGTGATTAAAGATAGCCTCATGTGAGTCACACTGACAGAAGCAGGCTCACAGAAGACAACACCCTGGGACCCCTCTCATTACATTTTCTGTTCTGCTAAAAATAAATCAGCTTGTTTGGTGTGGTTTGCCATCTAGCAATAATAGTGCATTGTGAAGGATTAACAGGATCGCTGACACCTATTGAAGTCCAACATGATCACCCTGGCTGTTAATTGTAATGTTAGAAAATGACTTTTCAGTGTTGCCTCAGCCAAGGCAGCTCACATTCTGGTAATTTTTAAGGGAACAGTGTTGTATTTTGTATAAATTCAATTTTAAATGTAAAATCAGAAAAGGGCAGCATGACAGATGTTTACTTTTATTATGCAACATTATGTAGGAGTAGGTCATGGATAATAGCCACTGATTTGGAAATAATTGGATATGAATAACTTGAGTTCATTGTTTATTATTATGACTGTAGATTTCTAATGAACTAGGCAGCTCATTCTCATTCTTTTTATGAAGATATAACACATTTTGGGGTCAACCGGAAAGAAAGGCAGAGAAACGTAAAGGTTAGGTCAGAGGTCAGATGTCAGATGTGGTCAGTGTCCAGTATCATTTACTAAATGTTAGTAATACAAACTAAGTCAGCAGAATTTTAACCAGGTTTTAAAGATAAAATACATTTTATGAAAGTTTGACCTTATTTAACCTTGAA